GACAATGAGTGTGTATATGTCCATGAATGACTGAAAAATTGTGCTGAACACTGGAATTTGACACAACATTGTAAAATGATTATAAATCAATAAAAATGTTAAAAAAACTTTAGATAAACGAAAGTTAGCAGATGCTTTTATGCTTTACATATGTCTAGTAAATCATCTGATTATTTCGTGTGCTAAGGTTTAAAATGGCTTTATACACTGTTACTATATTTAAAATAGCAAATGCTTATTTCTTTTCTTTAGATTTCAGCCAAATGAAGATAAGTATTCTTTTAAAAGCTGCAGTTCTGATTTCGTTTTTGGAGAAAACATGGTAGAAAGAGTTTTGGTAAGATTTTGGCACATGTTTCTATTACTATATAGGGAGCTGTCACTTCAAATTTCTCAAGGCAAATTAATTAGAACAATGTTAAATTGGAGCATACTTTTAAACTGCTGGGTTCAAAGGTACATTTTTTTTTTTAATCTTAAACTGGAAAGATTCTCCTGGGAAGCAAATTCTAGTTAGAATAATAGACAAGAACTCACAGAGGAAAGGAATTGTGTAATTATAACATTATTAGAGATAAGAAATATTAAATAGTTCTTTGACTTGCATTAAACCAAAGGTACCCAAGGAAATCCCAGGATTATCTGCAATAATTAGGTAAACCCAACTGGTCATGATATTTTAATACAGTTTTTCAATAGCATTTTTCATAACAAGATGCATTTAAAATCATTTGCAAAATTTTTCTCATTAACCACAATCCTTCACTTCAAACTTTTACACTGAAAAGCATTATTATAAGTTTTTTTTTGCTAGCTGTAAGAGGAAAATGATAATATTTTACTTGCCTAGGGGAATGTATTTGCCAAGTGGAAACCCTGACCTAATATTACCATCAGCCTTACTTAACACTGAGCATCCTCCGGCGAGAGACAGTTGCTGCTCCATCTTCCATAGAGTGTTTCTAAAACAGAGCATGACTGCAGTGGGGAATTATACAGCCAAGTGGAAGCCGTGGAGCAAGTGTACCCACGGTTTTATCTGCTCCATCACATCTTCATACTCTTTCTACTTTCACCCAGACCAGAATCTTGGCTGAGATAAGACAAAGAAGCTATCTTGCCGTAGGGCTATAAATTACATGAAGAATTAATTGCAAGGAGGATGTATAGGTTTTAAAATCTGTGCAAGGACTCAGAATAACAAAAGGACCAACTCATGAGGACTGTTTATTCCAAGATTTTAAGGGCTTTCACAAATTAGTCACTTTTAAGATCCATCTTACTCTACAGCTGCCTCAGGCTTAATCCCAATTCCAAGAGAAGTTTCACAGCTTTTCAGTTTAGCGGCACCCTTCTGTCACTCCCAAGATGAAGGGCAGCCCCAGCGATCCTGTATAGCTGTTGACCTATACTTTTGGATTTGGATCAGAATGGACCAGGGCAGCCCCAGCGATCCTGTATAGCTGTTGACCTATACTTTTGGATTTGGATCAGAATGGACCAACTTCCAGAGTGAAGTTCCAGGCACTATATTTATGCACATTATTTATTTACGAATAAATAACCTTCCATATCATTTATTCCTACATTTCGCACTAGATTTGTCACAGCTTCTTAAGATGTCACAGACACAAATAAAATACTCTTCAAACCTCACAGGATCAACTTTAACATTAAACTCAATTTAACAAACATGTCTTGTGTGCTTGTGATAGATAAAACACTGGCATTGGGCTCAAGTTTGGTAGCATATTACAATCATCTGGTAAGCCTTCAAAACTCTTCTTAGGCCTGGTGATCTCCCTAAACCAACCAGGTCAGGATCTCTGTCGGTGAGGACAGGTGTGAGGTGATTTGAACGTACAGCCAGGATTGAAAACCACCTGGGTGAGTGGTTGTGCAAATCTAACCCTGAGCCCTAGAGGTATTTATAGTCTAGAAAGGGGACAGAGAGAATTACCCACACAAATGAACTACGGTGGGGATTACAGATTTGCTGTGATGTGAGGTACCTGCATGCATTTCCTATAGGCACTTCAAGTTTGACTTACAAAGGAAACCGAGCTTCCCGTGTCTTTAAACTGATAACACCCCAGGATAGCAGGAGCTGTAAAGATCACCTGTGTTTGTCCTCTAGTTAACCCTGTAATCCTGTGGCCCTGTGATCTGGGGGCCAGGATGCCCTCCTGATTTGTTTGCTGACCATGTGCTTTTAGAGTGAGTCATTAAACTTTCCAAGCTTTAGTTTCTATTTTCTTAAAATGAAAATGACACCCATCTCTACCAATGTTAGCAGATTATCTGGATGCCAAGTAATGTGCAAGAATCTTGAATTCATATGGGAAAAGATATAAATCTCAGTTCTGAAGTATCATCCCCAATTCTCCCTGCTCTGCAGGGGCCTCATAAATGGCGTGGCGATCACTTATCTGTTTTCACGTGGGCCTTGATTACAACACATGTGCAAAGCCCAGGTATGCAGCCTTAAGAGTGATTGTTGGCAAAAACTGTCTTAGAAGAAAAGTTAGGATTCTTTCTGTAAAGATGATCTCTGAGACAACTAGTGAGTTCTCTGGACAACTTTTAAATTTTTAAATGAAATGGATAGAAAGAGTGGATTGTTGGGAATACTGGAATACCTTGAAAAGGTGACAAGAATTGCACCTCCTTCTAGGCATCAGGTTAGTCTGGTCATAGCAGGGAACAGCTGCTACCTCCTTTTGGGTCTCTAAAAATTTTCCCATTGTCCCTGGAACTGGGTCCCACCTGAAGTAGGCTGGTGGTAAATAGACTGTTTCCTGAGATCAGAACCAAGGTCTTCTAAGAATGGGGAGGAGTTCCCTGTACTGTACAACAGGAGCCCGAAACAAAAATATAGCTGTTGGGTTTGTTGGCCGTGTTGAGACAGAACAAAAGTATCCCTTGGTTTACTGCAAATGTATGGGATAAAATTAAGTAATGTATCTTTTTTTTCCACCTAGGGTTCTCAAAAACTCACCCAGCCTCAACTTGAAAATGATTCATACATCAAGGAAAAACTATTCAAATTCACTCTAAAATTTCCAATCAACTCTCCAAACTCAAGTAAGAATTATTTCATTTGTAAAACCTTGGATTCAACTAGCGTATTTCCTGTTTTACCATGTCATTTGTTTAATATCCATAAAACATAAAAACAATATTCCAGTGTTTTAAAATGTTTTGGTGAAGATTAAAGCATATAAATATTGCTACATGATGTATAAGCTTTAAAATATTTTGACTTAACAATATAGGGAATCATTAAAGAGATTTGCCTAAACTCAAGCAATTTGATTTTAAAAAGCTACTGAGAGATGTACGTTAACCAAGGCAAGAAAGAACTTTCACAGTAGACAAAATGGGGCCTTTTACTTGTTCTTTCACATTTTCTCTTAGGAACAGACGCTAATGAAAATATAACCCTAATTGAATCAGCTGCTGCTTTCTCTTCTAAACCATCACCAAAATGTTTGCTGGAGAAAATTGATGTTGTAACAGGGGAGGAAGCAGAACACAACGTGTTAAAGGTCTGTATATCGTGTACTGCTCTTTCTGATAGTACTTACATACCTGGAGTAAAGTTACCCTTAGCAGAGACATCTTTAAAAATAAAAGCAGAATACATATAACTGAATCACTTTGTGGTACACCAGAAACTAACACAACATTATAAATCGACTATAGTTCAATTAAAAAAAATGAAGGCAGAAGTATAGTTTTCGTAAAGACTGAGTTGTTTGAATAAAAACGTTAGAGGCTTCCAAAAATTAAATCACATTTTGTTGTATTCTTATAACAATTTGTAATTTGTGGGAAAATGGGTTACTGGGTTCACAACCATTCACATTAGTCCCTTAGGGAGATGACAGCCAAGAACCCTGTCTTAAAATAACTTCAGGCCTATGTTTTATACTTTTCATGTCAGCTTTTAAAATCAGTGCTATTATCATGTGAGTTAAAATTCTATTTACACTAAAAGTTTTAAAATGCAGATAAGATGAATTGATTTCGGTTCAAGATAAATTTTTTAAATTTTCCTTTAAATGTTCTTTGAAATAAGTTTTGAATTTCACATGAATCAAGACTTTGACGGATATAGAATGTAATATCACACATAGGATTTGAGTGTTGAGCGGTATAGCTGTCAGTCTAGGCATATGAAATGTAATTACCACAACCTAATCATTTTCAACAAAGCACAGAGTTCCCTTAGGCCTTTTTCCATCCGCTTTTATTCCAAACTCTCTTCATTCCTATTTTCTTCCCCCGTGATCTGCTGATAACATTTACTGTACAAGTGTGTCTCAAACATAACTCTCATACCAGTTTAATCCCAGATTCACTGCAGTATCACTAAGGATGGGGCCCTGGCATGCTGTATTTGTAACAAGTCATCTAAGTGATTCTTGTACCCAATAGTATTTGAGAACCACTTGTAAGCATTAAATTATAGTACAATACTCTGTGGTATCACATCCTAGTTCTAATGCTGTATTTGTTGAAATTTTTAAAGTATACAAATAGTTCCATGATTCCTTTACTTTCAGATAAACTACATCGCTCAAATAACACTGTTTATTTCAAAAGCTGCTATATATAGATACATATTGTTAAGTGAAAAATCAAGATGCAGAAAGTATGTATGGCATTCTACCATTTATAGAAAAAAATGGGAGAAAATACATATATTTGCATGTATAGACATACAAATATCTCTAGAAAAATAAGCAAAACATTAGCAACAGTGATTACTCGTTGCAGGGGGTGAAAACTGGAAGACTGGGAACTAGAGTTGGTGGGGTATTTTTCACTTTGCATCTTTTTGTTTTTTAACGTTTGACCATTCAAAAATTGTCCGGTTTTAGAAGTTAGATAAATTTGTAAAGCTGGTTTAGAAATCATTAACAAAGGTTATTCTGATAAAATATCAGACAAATAAAAGTGTTATAACTGAGGAAAGAAATCATTTTGAAAAATTTCTATATTTTGACATTTAAAAAAATTGTCCTTTAGATCAACTGCAAGCTTTTTATATTCAACAAAACAGCACAGTCCTGGATTGAAAGGGGCAGAGGAGCTTTGAGACTGAATGACGCAACAAGCAGTGATTGTGGAACATTCCAGTCAAGACTAAGTAAGGAATTATTTCGTAAAGCAAGTCACTATTTCTTAGGGAAATTTTTCCAATATAGGAACACATCGTGTTCTGGAGATCTGTTGTATGTCAGTAAATTAGACTGCTGAAAACAATATTGCTTCCAATGTACTATTGGAGCTTCCTGTTTAAAGTCGGCTCTGAGGTCAGACTACACAGGTTCCAGTTCTGGCTCCATCACTAACTGATAACCTTGGACAAGTTACTTAACCTCCCTCTGCCTTAGTTGCATCAGTTTAAAATGAAGATAACAGTAGCCCATGACTTAGTTTTGTGAGAATTCAGTGAGATAATGCATGTAAATCACTTATGACAGAGCCCAGCACACACCTAAATAGTAATCTCATTATTATTTAAAGGAATAGGATGACATTTTTCTTAAATGCAATAGTTTTTCTAAAAGAGAATATTTGCCCTATAATTTATTCCTAGCATTCTAAACATGGTGTGTGGGTTGGAATGAAGGGTCAGTTTCCAAGTAAATAAAGGTGTGTGGTTACTGAATCCTGCAGGCAGAGTGAGTGTTGATCAGAATGTGGTCAAACGGAGAGACTGAGGAGGATTTTGGCATCCAAAAGACACACTGGGCATTGCTCAGAGGCCCAGACTGAAAGAAAGCACAGGCAGAGCTATTGGCAGGCTGGGTTTACTGGTCAATATTTGGTGGGCAAAGATTGTGGAGGAGACCACAGGTAGAAGCTGGTAAATGGATATGTGTAAAGTTTCAGGTAACAAGATCAAAAGAGTAAGGAATAGAATTCAGACTAGAGAGTAGGAACAGTGTCCTTCAGTTCTGTAACAGGCAAACAGGTTTCCAAATAATCCAACCAAAGCAGGTACTACTTGTCTTCTACAATGTTTTCTACATTTTACTCCTTCCACTACCTGCCAAAAACCCAACAAAACGTTTCTTTTAATTTTGTAGGTAATACATATTCATTACAGAAGACAGAGAACACGGATAAACAAAAAGAAAAAAATTAAATTATTCATAGGCTTATCTTCCTGTAGTAGCTAGCCTCTATGAATAAAATATATTTTTCTGGACTTTATATACCATAAATGTATAAAATATATTGAATCATTTGTGATTCATGGTGTTTATATTGCTTTTTTTCTTTTACATAGTATACCATGGTCACCTTTCTATATCATTAATTATCTTTCTTCAGTATCCTAAATGGGTTCATAATATCTTCAATAGCTGTATCATCATTTATTTAACTAATTCCATTTTTTAAATGCTTAAAGTTTTTGTTTCAGTTTTCTCCATTGTAAACAACTCTTGGATAAATATTCTTCAGACCACCAGGTCCTTAAAAGAGTACTAAAATTATAACCATTTTTAATATTATAGTTTAAAAAAATGTAATTCCAGTATTTAAGCTAAAAAAAGTCTTCCAACATAATAAAGCCCAATTTGAAAGCCAAGTTATAATCTAGTCAAATTGCAATTTAATAGTGAAAACAGAGTCTGAAAACCAACTACAAGATTTATTTACTTTCAAAAAATGGCAAAGTCTTCTGGAAGACTAAGGAATCAATTGTTCTGAAATCTGATAAATTCACCTTCTTATTTCAGTTATGCGCAACCAAGGCAGCCTCAGGCTGATTCTCAATAGCAAACTCTGGGCTCAAATGGAGATTCAAAGAGCAAACCACAAAAATTTACGAATAACAGCTACTGATTTAGAAGATTATAACATCAAAGTGTTTTTAATTCAGGTAAGTGACAAATTTCAATGGTAGAGTATCACCCTACTATATTTATAGATCTCTGAAATTACTAATTTTTTTCATTTTATTATAATAACCTGTACCATTGGCAAAAAATCAACCATTTATTATGGTTGTTTGCAGTCTAACATAACACCTAAATTTTTTATGAAATTTTGAGATTAACACCAATTTAGAGTAGTCAGTTGACACCATCCCTGGACATTTGTACTGGCATATGCCATCAAACCTCCACACCTCACTATTAAAATTATGTCAACAATCTTATTAAGTTACCAAAGAGGCTATTGTCAGGATTGGCTCCTAGGAGGCCAGGGGAATCCACAGTCTGATGCTTATACTGCATGCTGAAATGGAGGCTTCAAGATTACTGGAAAGGACCCAGTGAGAAATAGAAAAACACAGGGCTAGCAAGTTGAAACAACCAGTCCAACAGCAATTTCCAATTCTGGACATGAATCAGTCTCCAAGGTAACAGAATGGGAACATAGCTGTAGCTGTTCCTGGCAGCAGGAACGCTTGACCTCAAATACAAGATCCAGGCAAAAGAGATAGAGCTGGCAGGAATCAGGCCAGAATAAAAGGCTGGATTTCCCCCTTAGTCTGAGACCCAGAAGACTGGAGAAGACTGAGTATCCAAGTGACTCAGGCAGAAGATGACAATGCAAGTAAATTGGCTTCCAAATAGCAATGAAAAAAAAAAAAAAGTTGGCAAGTGCCCACTGATGAAAAACCAATGGTTTTATTAACTACTAGTAAGTGCACTGTTAGGTTTAAGTGATGCTGAGTATTAAGATGTTAGAGTAAGACACCCAAACTCTGTTTACCATTTCGGGAGGTAATACTGGATTCTCTGCTAGGCCAGAGCCCCCCGGCTTTGAGTGGGTAAAGGAGCCTGCCTGAGACTGACAGTGAGACTATGATTAGATTAGATTAGATTTAACTACCATTAGATTCTGCTGCTTGATATTGGCCCACATGGACTTTTTAAATTGTCAGATAATTTTTAGAGATTAGCAAATGAAATACAATAAAAATCACCCAAAATTCCACTCCCAGAGATGGTCACTAGTAACATTTTGGTCTTAACTATATTTTAGTATATATATATGGATGTGTGGGTACGTGTATACATATGTACCATACTGTACATACTGTATGACCATCAGGCAAATTATTTAGCCTTCTTCAACCTGATTTTACTCATCTGCCAAAGGAAGACAATAATAATACACTTTATAAAGTGGTTAAGATTAGATAGCTAGTATTTGATTGTGAAATATACTTTAACCTTTTCACTTATCAATGAAAATGAGTGTTTTCCTTTATTAAATAGTAGTTCATTCTTCAAGAATTATTTCATAGGTGAAAATAATTCTATTATGTACCATAATTTATTCCACCAATCCCATTTTGCTAAATACTTAGGTCGTTTACTGTGTTTATTATTACAAATTCTACAAGGAAGTTGCAAGAAATTCTCTATGTACATACATGTTAATTCTCTTGGGAAAAGGTTTTGACTTGTTTTGACAAATTTCTCTCCAGAAAAACTGACCAATTTTCATTTTCACCAGCATTTTCTTATGGTACTTCTTGGAATTTTTTTTTAAATACTGCAAATTTATTGTTCAAAAAATATATCACTGCTTTTATTTTTAACTTCTTGTTCTGAATTTCTTGAATGAAAACATCTGAGTGCATTTGGCAAAAGGAAATACATACTAGTGAAAGGCATATTTAAAATTTAATGTAAAAAAGTCAAAGTAGCAGAACAGTATCTGTATTTCAATTACAATACTCTTTCAATATTTGTTATTAAATAACTTACTGAAGAAAAATTACACCTTTACACATGATGTAAAAAGTTAAATTGGTCAAAAGTCAACAAATATTTATTCAACACCTATTATGTAATATCTAATATAATATGAAAAACAAAAATATTTAATATATAGTTTTTTCCCTAAAAATAATTAAGGCAACTTAAGAACATGCAAACAAAAAAACATATTTTAAGACCCTCTCCCAAAATGTTGGCATTGTAGTTGGTTCAATTCTCAGTTCTTGGCTTTGAAAGATTCAATAGCTCTCTGAAGGATTAGCGAAGAGAAAAAATTTTCCCCAGATTTCCTTTGAAACTGTGAAAAGATACAAAAATGTAAACCACTGATATGTTACCTTAAAGAGCACTGACTTTGACGACAAAAACCAAGTCCCAGCCAATTCGCCAGCCAGCTGTGTACACTCGGACAGGTCGTGACTTTCGGAACCATAATTTTCTCATCTGTAAAGGGAAGAGGAAACAAGTACCTGTACTATGTGCTTTTACTAACACAGATGAAATAATTAACTTTGGTTTTATTATAAGAATTGAATAAATTAAAGAACATAACAGCAGCAAATGTTATACTAATGTTATTGTTACCATCAGTTTTTATACTGATAGCAACTCTGAAAATAGAAAAATACTGAGAGCAAGGACTTCTGATGTGCTTATGGTACAATATCACAGACTATTTGAACAAACTCTGCTTTTCTACAGAGCCATGTAGCTTGCCAGGGATGTCTAAGCAAGTGATGTAAAGGAAATGAAAGCTTTTCCCCCTCTAACCCTATAATTTTCTACAGTGTAAAACAGTGAAGGAAGGATGGTCTTAACAAATTTAAATTCATATAGAAATTTTAAATCACAAAATTTCATTTTCTTCGTTTAAAATGCATACATTGGGACCTCATAAAATTACCTGCTTTAGGATTCAATTTGGTTCAAGATAAACTGGCTCTTTGCCCTTTTAATTTTTAGGGTTATTTACGTTCCAGATTTACGCCACATAATCCCTTCCTTATTAATAGTAAAAGATTACAAATCTATAAAATGTGGCTGTTATTAAGTTACTAATTTTCTTAACAACTTGTAGGCCAGTGTCAAAGATACAGGATGTCTATATGCAGCAATACATCATCGTCTTGTTGCACTTCGAAGCTTCGACAAGCAGCAAGATGTAAATCAAGCTGAAAGCCAGCCAGAAACAGTCCTCCAGCAATTTAACTGTGATAGCTGTGATGAGGATGAGGATGATTTCATCCAAGTCACAAAAACTAGATCAGGTAAAGAACTTTTCTTTTGTCAGTTCAGAGGTTTAAGAAAGAAATCTTATTCACAACCCTACCATATGAAATAGACATTTAAAAAGTGAAACTTATCTTTTCAAATTGGGCTGGGGTTAGAGCCCTCGATATTTGGATTTGAGAGGTGGGTTTGAAAATCACTGTCTTCTTCATGTGGCCTTCATTAGAATGTTACCGAAAGTCAGCCTCATTGCTGTATCTGCACATCATTTGAATATTCATTTCATAAACGACCATATTTACAATGTAAAGTATTAATTGCTACACTGAAATTAACCATTCATTCATATTTCTCTTCACTTCTCCCCATTCTCCTATTATTGGCCATAGTAGGAGAAATGATAGATACTCATAATAGAACCAGCAGGCAAATCTGGCTTGAAATATTGAAAAATCCTGTTTATTCCCTTTTTTGGAATTTGACTGCTTTATTTTCAAAGACCTTCTTTGCCTAGGGCGAAAGTGCTATTTGTTTCATTACATCAGGATTCATGAATTGAGCAAGGCTGCAAGGGAACCATCATTTAATGGATTTTAGGTTTTAGTGCTTGTCCTGATGAGTGAATTTAAAACTAAAATTCTTCATTATTTTTGGAGAAAAACATTGTCAAGGAAATAATCAGCCCAGTTTGTTATATAGATGTAGCTATTCCAATAAAGTCATCCAAGTATTTTCAGTCTTAATAGTTTTATTTAGCCCTGAATTCTGCTCTACCGAGGACTGACAATGGACTTACAAAAATAGTTGGCAGGCATTTTCCCAATTTTTAACCATTTTAAATCTTACAGCTATTTTAATCATACATAATTTAAGAATCTACCAAAGAACATGTGCCGAACTTGATGAAACAGCTTCCTTGGCCTAATACTAAAAACGTAACCAAGAGGAAAAATGCACAAAACTTGCACAGTGGGACCATAAATTGCTAGACTCAGTGAGACAGAGAACTAAGTGAATACAGTCTTTCTTGTTGTTCTTAAACAAATGGCTTAGTATTTTTTGAAATGTATGAAATGAATAAAAAAATTCTTTTATACTATTATAAAGTTTATATTGTCAACAATAAAATGGGGTGTTTAGAAAATGAGTTGGTATCCATTAAAATGTTAACTTGCAATAAGGAGTAAATGGCAAAATTATTTCATCAACAAATGACACATGGTTATGAACACAATGCATATTATACCATATTCCACTTTAAGAAAGAGGTGATATGCAGCTATCTTCGTATAAAATGGGAAACAATGGAAAAGAGACAAAGTAAATGTCAATCATATGAACCCCCTTTCCCTGCTACCTCTTCCCCTTTCCACTGAGCACCTCCTCCAGGAGGGGTTGCATACAAATGTTAAATGTTAGGGAAGCAATCAAATGTCTGATTTTTCAAACTTGTTGCCCATGGATCAAGGAAAGTTTTAATTATCTGTCACATTTAAAACTAGTAATATTTCCAAATGTTACTTTTAAAAATGTAGATTCTATGTATTTTATCTCCTCACCAGTAGGCATATTTGAGAGTATTCATGTTCAATTGAATTATATATTAAACTAACCAACTCTGAAAAAAATATGTTATATTTTAACATTTTACCCCATTTTATGCTTCTGATGTTACAATATACATCTTTAACCATGCATTTTACCATTAATAAATTATTGTAGTTATAGTAATTTTGAAAAAATTAAACTGAATATAATATTGTATAATAAATTATTTTAAATTTACATCACAGATTCTTCCAGGTGGACCCACAGACAGTCAGTTGCCTGTTCATGAGCGCTACCTACTATAAATATGACAACATCTACGAAAAGAAAGAACTGAAAAAACTAAGCCATCCTAACTAAATGAGAAGATCCTATTCATTCCTTGAGTAGTTTTTATAGAAAAGTTCAAGAAATATAATTTGTTGCAATTAAAGGGTTTCTCTTATGTAGTCTTATCATTCTAAGGTTTTATATTTTGATTATTGTGGAGAAAATGACAGAATTTAAGAAATACATGGCCTTTAGAAGTTTAAAATTTATCATTTTTGAAGAAGTTAATTTAGAATAGGATTTGGAATTAATTTGAACTGTTCATCACATTGATGAATACTATAGTTGAAATTACAAATTGCTGGATTTGATAAATAACTAAAATATTTATGTTTTTCAGTCATATATTGTCTAGCCATAAAACAATTCTTTTACAAAATTTCCAGAGTCATTTCTTTGAAAAACATTATAACTGCATGATAACATTTCATTAAATCATCTTTTTCTTCTGGGAAATGCATATTTTCATTTAGCCTTTGGAGTTCCTAATTCTGTAAGATTATATATTCATGGTATGAATTCCTTTAAAGGTGCACTTGTATCTATTGCACCTTGTATGTGCTTGACTCACAGTCAGCACCCAAAAGTTGTTGAAGGAATGAACAAAACCTATGTATCAAAACAGTAAGTATGCAAAAAATGAAATATGGTAACTTGTTCTTCGCTTTATTTATGTAATTAAATTAATTTTGTAATTTATGTAATTAAATATTCTAGTAAATGTGGCAAGTTCTCTGGTGTCTCTTCTTATAAGGGCATTAATCCTATTAGGCCAGGGCCCTACTCTCACAACCTCATCTAACCCTAAGTACCTCTCAAAGCCCCATCTCCAAATATCATCACATCGTGGGGTAGGCTTCAACATGTGAATTTTGTGAGAACGCACACATTCAGTCCATAATAAGGGAATAACATCCACAATTACAAGACGATTTCTGAAAATGTTTTGGACAACAACAATATATTTGGAATACTAGTATAGCTTAATTTCTACTTTGAAGAACAATATTCATTTGGAAGTATACATGTGACTATACTTAAAAAAGGTTACATTATTATAGTACCATTTATAGTAGTAAAAGAAATTACATATATGTATTTATTGTCAAATGTGAGCTAATGCTTAAAAGTTTAGCATATGGTGACAATGAATATATATATATATGTTCACGTATAACTGAAAAATTGTGCTCTACACTGGAATTTGACACAACATTGTAAAATGGTTATAAATCAATAAAGAATGTTAAAAAAAGTTTAGCATATGAAAGTTGAATTACTCTTTTAGACTATAATTTAGCTAGTATGTTATAATTGTTCAAAGTTTTGCTTTTTCCCTATAATTCAGTAACTAAAACTTGGTAAAATTTCACTACTAAGAGTAGCTAACTTCCATTCATTCTTCCAGTGACTATAGAATAGATATAGTAAATAAAATCCTTTACTTCTAAAAATTAAGCAATGACTCAGGAGGTGGAGAAGAAAAGTTAATGTGAGAGAGGAAGAGAGAAAAGATCAAGAGAAAAAAAAACAGTAAAGAAAAGCTCTAACATGAAAGGAAGACTACAAAGGATGGAAAAACAGAAGTTTTAAGTTTTTTTCTTTTTAATTCTAAGCGAGTGGCTGATGCAGAACAAACTCGGAAAAATTTTCATTAGAAGTATAGTATAAACAGGGAGACACTTGGAGAAGGTATTAAAGAATTGGTTCTCTTACAAGCTTGTAGCTGATATGGGAACACTGGGGTTATGCTAAATTGTTAAATTCAAGCAGAAAAACAGAGATTTTCTTTATTTTCTTGACATGTTTATTCCTGGCCTCTTTTTATGGCAGAGATGAATTTTCTCAATGCCTCAAACATTTTAATATAACTTGAATTTATTCTTTTCATCTGTGATTTTCTTTGTACTCCTCTGCATATACAAGACAAAAAAAAATTATGACTACCTGAATTTCTGATCTATGTAGAATTGCCAGGGCAATAGAACCAAAAATAGTGTTAGAATATCAGGAAGGCAGAGAGAGAAAGAGTGAAAATTTGGGGATTATGACATGGCTACTAACAGCAAAAACATATTTAGCTTAGGACTTTCAATCCATTTCCTGCCCACTCTACTATTCCTTCTTATAATCTTTATGCAAATATTTAGTAATATTTTGGGGGGCTAATAGAAATATAAACATCTTAGTTTCTTCTTATTCTATATCTTCATCTAGCCTTCTCGTTTTTGGTTTTTTAATATCCTTCCCCCCCCCCTTAATGTAAAGAGATCCATCATACAATGATATTCACTTTCATAGGTTATTAGGTAGGTGATTTCAAAGCATACATCTTCTTCCATAGGAGCTGCTTTTATTAAAATTTACTTAGATAAATATTCCCCCAATATACTAACTCTGTATTTAACATGATATCCTGTTACATTTTAGGATAATCTAAACATTCTTTTCTATTAACAGGACTTTTATATCCAGTTACTCAGCTTAATTACAAACTAACAAAATGTTCTCTCTTAAAATATTATTTTACACCCATTACTGCCAAAGCAAGGAACCCTTAGTTGTCAGGGACTAATATCCTATACAGGCCTTAGATTATGTGGATGTCATTTTAAAAAAAAGCCAGGGTTGGGGATGTTTATCTTTCACAGAGTCAGAAAGTAAATGAAGTAAACTAGAGGGCATTCTAGGCATTGGGAAGGATAAATCTTAACCTTGTAAATCTTCAAGTTGTGAATATCACACTGAGATATAATTTTTTCCCATAAAATGTTGAGAACATTTTAAGCTTGCTTGAGACGTGGTACCCAGGTGGTTGGGTATGCTTATACACTAGAAAAGCACACCAGCCTTGTCATAGATACAGTTCAAGTTTGAAACTCAATAATATTACAGATTATGTTAGTTGTCTGAGGGTAGTTGAAACTGATATTAAATCTGTGAATGCCAGCACTTTGGTTTGTTTGTTTTGCAATGGCACACTATACCCACAGTTCTGGGTAATTTTTGACATAAGACTTGGAACAGACAAATTTGAATACATGAACACATTGGAAGTTTCTAAGATGATATTTGTAAACCATGGCATTGGAGGAGTTACTGAAGTAACTGGCAAATGTTTAGCCTAACAAAGACTTGATGATGTAACAGCTTTCAAACAATTAGAGGATTATCGACATTTTTAAGTTTCTGCCAATTTTGTGTATATAAAAGACTATTTCACTATTACCTTTTTCTGATTTCTCATAAGGTTGAGTCTTTCAGATATTTGAAAGTGATTGCATTTCTTCTAAGAAATTTCTTTTCACAATCTTTGCAAAGCTAACTATATTGTTTTTCCCCTTTAGTGGCTTCCTAGGATAGGCAGGGTAAAAGCCAAATTCCTAAGCATGGCTGTGACACTTTCCATGTCTTTCCCCAGTCTACTTCTCTAGCTTCATCTCCCACTGTTGCCTTCCTCCCTCTAAATGTTCTAGGAATTCAGAACTGCTATTTTGTTGCTCCGTATCTGTGCTCATACTGTTTGCTCTGTGGAATTCCTTTCTTATTCTTGCTGATTCTGGCAAATACCTAATTCAATCTTTAAGGCTTAGTTTAAGACACTTCCAGAAAGTTTTCCCTAACTCCTCTTAGGCTGAGTTAAGACCTGTTCCTCCAAATTCCTGTAACACCCTGTATATAATTTCACCACTGCACAGACTTTATGTTCTTTGAGAGGAGAGACTACCTTTTATTTATCCATTTTATCTCCAGCACTTAGCAGGGTGTCTGGCCCATAGCAAGCAATCTCATAATTTGATCTCCACAGACTTGTGTTGTACATATAAGACTCAAAGGATGTTATCCAACAGGAAGCTAGAAATAAGGCTGTGAAACACCTGAGACAATCTGGGCTAAAGATAGTTGGAGTAGCTGAAGTCATGGGAAAGAGAAAGGGTTAATATTTGCCAAGTGTATACTTTGTAGTGGGCATGCAGCTAGGCATTTGTACATACAGTTACAACTTAACAAGGTAGCTATTACATTTTGTAAATGAAGAAGTAGGCTCAGAAAAGTTAAGGTACTAGTCCAAGGTTTACAAAGGCAATAAATAGTAAAGCTGGGATTTGAAACAAGGTCTTTTTAAATCCCCAACTCAAGCTCCTTTCGTTACACAAGAGTAGATAAACTCAGGCAGGGGAATGGAGAGAGAGAGAAGGGAAGGCAAAGCAAGGCAAGGGAAGGATAGATTCTGAAGATAAGCTTAGGAAGAAGGAAACAGAAAAGGTACAGAGAAATGGGAGGGACACTATTAGGGACTGGTGTGTTGTGAGCCAGAGTAAAAAATTTCAAAAGGAAATGATAACCATTTCAAATGCTGCAGAAAGACCAAGTCATTGAAGGGCTGAAAAATATCTTCTGAGTTTACAATCAGCTCTTTGGTTATCATGGAAATAGCCCTAATTAGTAAAGTGGTGGGGAGAAACTAGATGACAACAGGTTGATGAATGAACGGGAAGCAGGGATGTGACGATGATGAATAACTACTCTGTCAAGAATCCTAGTTATAAACAGAAGACAAGCAATATATAAAAAGCTGAGGCTTTTTTTTTTGAATTAAAGATGTCATAGACACCAGCATGTTTAATAGTGAAGAGGAAAAGTCCAACAGAGAGGGAGAATTAAAGGTGTATCAAAAGGGAAAACTTGATGGAATAATAGTTTGGAAGGAGACAGA